TACATCTACATCACACTCACTGTCAAAGGTAAATCTTTAAAGCTTTAAAACCATCATTTGAACAGAACAACTCTACTTCATATTGTGTAAACATTTCATGATGAATGAACCAATAGAAAATAGAAATTTAAGAATGTTTTTGTCTTTTTTTCTGTAAAACCTTTTTTTTTTTTCTTTTAATAGTAATGATATATATATAGCTTTTGTTGGAAGAAAACCTTGTATCTCCATTTTTGATGTTTTTCGGTTTTTAACATAATTTGAAAATACTTGTTGCCCTTTACATTATATGTAAATTTCATGATGAATGGACTTAAAGAAGCAACCCCAAATGATTTGGAAGAAAGTCTGGTTCCATTGATTTACATTAAAAGTAAAGTAGGTTTTCTCCTTTTCCTGTTAACATTTTGGAGATATGAGGTGCCTTCCGCCCAATGACAGCTGGGATAGGCTCGAATACCCCACCGCGACCCAGAAGGATAGGCGGTTTTGATGATGTGTGTGTGTGTGTGTGTGTGTGTGTGTGTGTGTGTGTGTGTGTGTGTGTGAGATATGAGGTTTTCTTCCGACAACAGCGATATATTACAAATGCATTATTTCTCAAGAGTGCTGGAACAAAGTCTAATGATACAAAATTTAAGCTGCAGACTTGCTAAACTTCTGCTAGTGCACCTTCATTTGTACAGTACATTCTTAATAGTAAATTGAAGAGAAAAAAAAACAACACAAAAAACAAAAAATCCTAAACCTAATCCCTCAAAGTGAAAACACACTGCCACAGCAGGCAGCTAGTCTATACAGTGTTCAGCACAGACACTATCAAAATCTCTCTTTCCAGAGGCTCCAGCATCAAAACCTACTCCAACACTTGATAGGAACACTCATCTGAACACTTCAGCTGAAGCTTCCACCACAACCTCTTCTCATAAAGGTAACAGTAAACTCCATTCACAGACATCAGCTTCACATCTTATCATTTGAAGCCTATATCAACATTGTACATGTCACTTCCTGACAAACCCACATTGGAGATATGGGTCAGGTCCCAGCTTCCCCAAAAACATCATAGTGCTGTGATTATCTTAATCTTTAGGTCACAATTTTAAAAACAAAGTTATAGAGATTTTTTTTTTTTTTGATTATCAATAACATTAGGGTTAGGTTTAGGAGTAGGTGTAGGTTTAGTGTTGAAGTTAAGTTTAGGTTTAGGAGTAGGTGTAGGTTTAGTGTTAGAGTTAAGGTTAGGGTTAGGTTTAGGAGTAGGTGTAGGTTTAGTGCTGAAGTTAAGGTTAGGTTTAGGTTTAGGAGTAGGAGTAGGTTTAGTGTTGAAGTTAAGGTTTGGGTTAGGTTTAGGAGTAGGTGTAGGTTTAGTGTTGGAGTTAAGGTCAGGGTTAGGTTTAGGAGTAGGTGTAGGTTTAGTGTTGGAGTTAAGGTCAGGGTTAGGTTTAGGAGTAGGTGTAGGTTTAGTGTTGGAGTTAAGGTTGGGGTTTGGTTTAGGAGTAGGTGTAGGTTTAGTTTTGGAGTTCAGAAATTCACATATTACTGAAGTTTTTGTTGCAGAGCCTCCACAGTCTCTGCCCTTTGTCCCCTTTGCCCTGGTGACTGTGATCTTCCTCCACATTATAGTAGCTGTGGTTTATCACACCAAGAGAAACAAAGGTACAAACTACACAATCCAGCCACTGTAGTCTTCTTATTGTTGTTGTATGTGTGAAAGTTCATGATTTGTGTATGAACTGAAATTTTCTTGTTGATCTTCACTACCCGAGAACCAGATACTGCCACTGTTCACTACAGCAATGCCGATGATGATGGAGCAGTGAGTCTACAGCACAGAATCAAACCAACAGACATTAACAGACCAGCTACTGATGACACACCTGATCAGCACACCAGCTACTGACTTTCACCCCAGATCAAAAGACAAGCTAGTTGCAGCAGCAGGGCATGGTCAGGCACTGTCTGCAGCAGGGAAGTCTGATCTGAGTGAGGAAGCAGACTGATTGGCAAGCACTCACACCTGTGGATATTTGTCACTTTTCCTATTAATACCAGCTTCTTTCCCCAGTAAGGAGGAAGAGACCTGGAAGACAGGAGCAGAGTCAGCAGAGAAAAACCCCACATCAGAAGAGGAAACAGAACTTGAGCCGTCAGACTGGAAAATGACTCTAAAGTCTGCATGAGTGAATAGCTACTCACTCGCAGTGTGTAATAATAAACTATCTCTGCTTTTTGATACCACCTCCTTCCACCTACACCGACCAGGGTATCACACAAGACTGACTTTCAGAACATATCAACAGACCAGCTACTGACCAACACATCTGATTCAGAAGGACAGTGTTGGAGTTTTTATGTTACTTGGCTGACCTTCAGAACATGTGGTGAAACTGTACTGTTCTCTCCTGTAGACACTAAACCCCAAAAGACTAACAAGTCACACAGATTGGTGTGTGCTGGGTAGGACTGTATGAGAAAGAAATTCTATGTGTTTGTAGTTGATTTCTTACTCTTGTGTTTTTGTTTTGTTTTGTTTGTTTTCTGTTTGTTGCTTTAATCTCACCTTATATGAAGTATATAAACATGCATTAGACATGAAACAACTGTGTACCTACTACTGATGTATTTAAGGTAACATATGGATTACTGTAGTTCTGCTTATGTAAATGTATGTGTGTCATCTTCAGTTTCTACTCATGTAATTACACAAATAGATACAGTAACAGTAACTATACTATTGTGTAAAGCCAAAACATCAGATTGGTTTGCATGCTGCAAAACAAGACCATTAATACTGCTAGCTTAATATTAACAAAGTTGGCCTTTCGATTGCAGATGCAGTGTAAGTACCCTCTTAATGTAGGTAATTACACACATTTTATTACAAAAGAAAAACCTTACTGGAAAAACAGCAGTTCATGTGAATGTATTTACCATCATCCTATTAAACGTGTAATTATGTTAGTAATAACTGAAGCTGATACATGTGTATTTAAATAACTGTGCACTGTAATTTGTAACAGCGAGTACATGACCAGGAGTTACACAGTTGTTGGATGTATTGTCAATGTGTAATGACTTAGTTATAAGAGAGATGTAATATATTGTGGGCTTTTTTACAGAAAGTGCTTAAAACATTTTTTTTTTATATTTAATAATTGTATTTTTATATACAGTGAAAAATACAGTTATTAAATATAAAAAGATTATATATATACACACACACACACACCCCCCAATCAGTCATAACATTATGACCACCTCCTTGTTTCTACGCTCATTGTCCATTTTATCAGCTCCACTTACTATATAGGTGCACTTTACAGACTGTAGTCCATCTGTTTCTCTGCATACTTTGTTAGCCCCCTTTCACCTTGTTCATCAGTGGTCAGGACCCCCATGGACCCTTACAGAGCAGGTTCTATTTGGGTGGTGGCTCATTCTCAGCACTGCAGTACCGCTGATGTGGTGGTGGTGTGTTAGTGTGTGTTGCGCTGGTACAAGTGAATCAGATATAGCAGTGCTACCCTTGTTCTGTGAGCGTTTAACATTTCAAGATCAGTGTCATATGTGTGATCAGTGTCAGTGTCACAGCTCAGTGGCCGCCCACAGGTGCTTTCTGATCTTCACCAGTGGCATCTGGTTAGAATTTTCTGTGTGAACAGACAAGCGACTCTGGCAGAAATCACATCCACATTCAATGCAGGAGGCCCCACATGCATATCCCACAGGTCTGTGCAGAGTTCTTTAGCTTCCATGGGATATGGGAGCAGGAAACCCACCAGAGTGCCTCTGTTAACACCACGACACCAGGCAACAGACAGTGCCTCACCTGGGCTTGTGAGGTTGCTAAGTGGACCCTAGAGGACTGGCAACATGTGGCGTGGCCCGATGAGTCATGGTACCAATTGTTTCAGGCTGATGGTGAAGTCATGGACCCCAATTATCAACAAGGCACTGTGCAGGCTGGTGGTGGTTCCATATTGGTGTGGGGTGTGGACTGGTCCGTGCGTTTCACTACTTGATGACCAATTGCACCCCTTCATGGACTTCATGTACCTCCACTATGATGGGATATTCCAGCAGGCCACTCTGCCATCGTACCCAAGTTGTCCGGAATCGGTTTAAGGAACATTCTGGGGATTTCTGATGAATGGTATGGCCTGCACGTTTGCCCCAGTCAAGCATTTATGGGATGTGGTGGGCAGGTCCATTTACACCAGAGATCCTGCCCCTACAAACAACACAGAGCTGTGGGTGGCAATCCAGATGGCATGGCTCCACATCCCTTCAGACATCTTCTGTTTACTTGTGTAATCAATGCCACATCAAGTTTCTGCCCTTTGCCGGTATTACCTAACATTTTGGACTTAAGTTTAAACAAAAAATAATACAATGGTCTTCATAAACAAATACATACATATATACATCATCTAAACCGCTTATCCTTCTGGGTCACGGTGGGGTGCTGGAGCCTATCCCAGCTGTCATTGGGCAGAAGGCAGGATACACCCTGGACAGTCATAAACAAATATGATCTTTTAAAAATGTAAAAAATAATAATAATAATAAAAACATTTCTAAGATTACATTTTCTATTGATTATGTTTTGTTTTCTTAGTCAGTGAAAATAAATATATTCTTTTTAATTTCTACATATCCCTATGCACTGTAAAAAAAGGTTTGTTAGTTGCACCATTGGTCAAAATGATGGCTAACACAAATTGTGCATTTAAAGGTGGGCTAACGTCTCCCAGCAAGGCAGCAGCTTCTAATAAAGAGGATAGTAAGTGTAAAAGTATAGACAGAAGAAGAAAGAGTGGTGTGACTTTCGCAACAAACAACTGCATGTGATGTTTAGGCACAGAGAAGAAAGAGGAAAAGCTCACAGGATGTTGCTACATCACTACATTTGGCGTGGGTGGGTGACAAACAGTGCAAGACAATGTAGTCTGAACACAGTTCCTCTTTGATGTGTTTGAGTGTGGTCCAATGTCCAGTGAAGTCCTGCTTGAGAGAGTCAGAGGAGTTTGTTGTGTGCTGTTTGAATTGTGTAAACTGTAGATTTCTGAAGAAGTACTGAGGTAGTGTAGTACATGTGTAGCTGACACATCAGTAGCTGTCTCTGTATGTGGTGAGGAGGTTCTGTAACTCAGGAAGAATGCAGGTTTGTTTGTATCTGCTGCTTGTGCTCCATGTTGCTGAAGGTAGGTGCACCGTTCTCTCTAGAAACTCCGGCCTATATAACACAGTGCCATTTAAAGCTTATTTCAAACTCATGCTGTAATCTTACTGATGATCTGACAGCAACTGAACTTGAGTCGATTGATTTCCTTCAAACTTTCTTCAAAAGCTACTTCATTCAAGTAATCACTCTGGTGGCTGATTTCTCCACTCAAGCTGACATCAGACAGTAATTACGTGTGTCCTTTTCAATAAGAAACTTCAGAATGCTTTTTAGAAACTGAGCTTAAGGTGCTGAAGCGAGGATTATTCTAATGATGCATTGAAGGTAAAATGTTATTTCTGCTTGAGTAAGTTTTATGCAGGTGAAAACAGAATGATATGAGGAAATCTGAATTGTAAAGCACTTCCACATATTTTGGGGGTTTTGAGAGTGAAGGTCATTATCTAGTCTGTTTCTGCAGGCTGCACACTGAAAGACAATCAGCAGACAAAATTCATTACTGCATACACAGGAGGGTCAGTACTGCTGCCCTGCTACTGCACTGACCCACGCACCAAACCTGGGATTTTCAAATGGAGAAAAGAAAACACAGACAGAAACACATGGGAAGAGATTTCCAATGAGAGTGGTCAGTACGGAAACGGAGTTCAGCTGGTTAATGGTCACTCTCCAGGAAATCTCTCCCTACTCATATCACACCTGACTGAAGAGGATGGGGGAACGTACCTGTGTTATAGTGGATCCAATGGATACATCTACATACTGCTCACTGTTAAAAGTAAGTCTTTAAAGCTTTGTTAGCTGTTGTCCAGAAAAAAGTACATCTACTTTTTATAGGGTTTTATTTTTCATTTGAGCACAGCAACTCTCCTTTACACTGTGTAAAAATTCATGAAAAACAGACCAATAAAAATGCTCCAAAATAAGTTGGAATAAAATATTTTTACATTATCTTGCATTTAAAGTTAAGAATGTATTTGCCTTCTTCTATGAAGTTATTTTGGAGATTGTCTTGTGCCGGAATCAAGTCTAATGATACTAGATTACTTTGTAATGATGAGAAATTGTTGAAATAGTTGTGTTTTGTTGCTTAGTTATGTAAAATGAAAGTCCATGCTTGAAGTCTGAAGCAATTTACTGCTGTAAATTGTAGACTTGCTAAGCTTTTGGTAGTGCCCCTTCAATCATAAGGTAAATGCTTAATAGTTATTTGCTGCCAGTAGCAGTATCTCCTCTATCTCATTTAAACGGCTAATTTCTAATGAGTAATCACCAAAAATGCACCTAAACACAGCAAATTCAAATAAATATGAAAGCCAGTTTCTCAGCTGCATGGTATTCAGGGTGAAGTGTTTACACCTATATGTGTTTCTGCAGGCTGTTCTGTAGTGGTTCTGTAGTGAGGGTGTGTGTATATGGTAGTTTTGTGTATATTACTAGAGTGTATGTGCAGGAACGCTTTAACCTTCTTGTGGGCCCTGGGGCTACAGGTGGTCTTGGGCCCTATGGGTGTAGTTGCACAGCCTCATTAGACTCAAAACATGTGAGTACAGCAATGTGGAAAGTAAGTTGGAATATATAAATGTAAACATATCCTGAACTTGAGCTCATGTGTGTTATACATTAAAACTGCATTAAAACTAAAATTTCTAGTACTGGAAAGGACTAAACGACTCAAATGCCAAGTAGCTTGAAGGACAAGGACAAATGCCACGTAGTTTGCATTTAAATGCAGCGCCATGAGAGAGAAGTCTGACATGACAAACCAATTCCATCCAGTCTGGATGGTGTTTTCAACAAACAGCTCAACACTGGCGTGCTAGCTAGCGTTGTTAGCTAATTATTTAAGGCAAAAACATACATGTGGCAGGCATATAAATGTTTAATGTTTATTCAGGTTTTACAACCACTTATATTAAATGGTCTCTTTTTCAGCTTTGAATAAGTACAAAATGACAAACTCTACTGGACCAACAAAGATCTCAGTTTTAAACATCCAGTTACATCTTTTAACCACAACTACAGCTTCAAAGTCAAACTGAAAGCTTGAGGCAATGGTGGATACCAAGAGTTGCTGTGCAGCGATTGAAGGGCTGAGAAAAGAAAGCAGAGTTTAGCTGAGAGTGTTATAATTTGATTTGCTATAATACATTCACAGTGCTCACAGAAAACAAATCAAATCCTATTATTACTGTTGTAGAGTCCCCACCTTATAATCAAGTGTACAAACCAGTTCCCCACACGGTTACATAAATATTTACCCTCTTTCCTCCTTCAAATACAGCCGGTCCATCAACCATGGATTCTAAATTTTTCATTTATGCCGCTGTGGGGGGCTTACTGCTCTTGCTGGTCCTCTGTGGGGTCATCTACTGGAGATGCAGAGGTATACACACATCCACAAACACTCCATTTATCTTTTCCATACACTCAGTGTTTGGAGCTCTGTGCTGTGTGTAAGTGTCTGTGGTTTGATTGTGCAGCTCAGAGACAAGGACAGATGGAGGGCTGTGAAAGGAAAACAGAATTGAGAAGAGATCAGGAGACACAGGTGAGATCAAGGGTTTGACCTCTCTTGTAGTGCTGATCATCTCTGCTGTAAGAAAGCCTTGATGCATAAAAACTATAGAAGTTATAGGAGCTGGGGAAAAACATTCTTAAAGTAGTGTAATGGTGTGATAAAATAATATATATATATATATATATATATATATATATATATATATATATATATATATATATATAATGTAATTATTTTTTTTTCAGTGATAAATTTTGTATCCAGTGGTTTAGTGTGCAGGGTACGCACTTGCAAACAAGCCCTGTATTAGTGGGCTGTGAATTGCTTCTACTTCTTTTATTCTCATTACATAATTTACTGATTCCAGGCCTCTTAATCCAGTCACTGCTCCCCGACTTTTATTGCCCCAATTAAATCCATCAAGCTTTAAGTTCCAGGGTTTGCTGTGGATATTATTTGTATCGGAAGCTTTATATATGGCCAAAAGACTGGCAAGATTTGGTACTCAATTTTAACTGATAAACCTGGCATGTTGCTGCACAATTCATCAGTACTTCTCTACATCCTCCACCAGTGAACATAGACCAACTTTGGACCACCACTGTGTCATGTGTGAAGCTGGTACAAGTGTACCAGGCACAGAGGTTTTACACACGTCATTGTATGCTAGATACAGGGCTACAGTGAATCTAAACCTTTGGTATACTCTTAAAAAATGGCTATATATAGAACAGTACATTTGAATGTGTGCATCGTTCTTTGTACGGTTAAATGGCTTTTCTTATGATGGAAAAGATGTTTGATATGGTTCTTTATCAAAGCCATAGCGCTTATTTTGTAGAACATTTTTTTGCTAAGAGGTGACCAATGTGTATAGGTCAGGGGTTCCCCTGGGAGACCCCACACTATGCACATTTTTGTTCAGTTAATTAGCTCATGTGCTGAATCAAACAAGTTAAAGTTAGTGCAAAGCCTGGTTACTTTGGGAACCCCCAGTGCAGTTACAAGGTAGGTGTTCCTGTATGTTTTGCTTGTTCATAAACTGTCTAACTTGCCAAATGTGTGATTTTACAGAATGATTGTGAGGTGCTGTACGCTACTGTAAATAAAGAGGACAAATGCAAAAAGGTTCAAGAAACAGTGAGTATCATTGCATTTGTGTGTTTACTTAAGCTACGTTTACACTACATGACTTTACCCCGATTTAAGCCCCCAGTTCTCAGTCTACAGGCAGGGAAATCAGAGTCAACAAGTGTTTTTTGCCTCCCATTCACCTTTCAGGGCAGATGGAGTATATCAAACACATTTGATTCATTTTTATTTATTTATTTTTTTTTACCTGACCTGAGCATAGACTGAGAACCAAGACAAGACTGAGACCTTTACCTTGTGGTAGTTTAACCTGAGTTGAATCTCAAGTACTAAAACAGTATAAATACATGAAAATATATAAAACATTTCTGAAATGCTCATTTAACCCTAAATATTGTTTGCTGTAAATGTAGTAATAAGCAGCTTAATGATTGCTTATAATTATTGATTTATTAATTAATAAGCTTAATAAAGGGTCTTGTAATGTCTCTGCTTAATGTGTTATTTCTGCAGGATGATGTGACGTACTGTACTGTAGTCCACAGCAACACATCAGCACCAGCAAACAAACTAATGGACACTGAAGAAACTGCGGAATATGCCAGCATCAAACTGAACTAACACCCACATACACACACACACACACACCACACAAGCATACTTCCACACACACAAACACACACACACACACACACACACACCACAAGCATACTCCTACACACAAACACACACCACGCACACTCTCTTACATACCACACAAGCATACACAAGCACACACACATGCACACACACACACTCACTACACAAGCATACCCCCGCACACACACACACACACCACACACACTCTCTTACATACCACACAAGCACACACAGATGCACACACACACACACACACTTACACACACACACACACACACACATGCACACACACACAAACTCTCTTACACACTTACGACACAAGCATACACCCACTCACGCATACACACACATCTACCCACACAAGCATACCCCCCCCACCACACACACACACTCACACCTACCCCCCATGGATACAAGGTAGATGTACATAGTAAAGTGTATTTGCCAGTCCTGAAGGCCCACAGTCCTGCTTAGGTCAGTGTTGGCACCACCAAAAGTAGTCCATAGGAGAGCATCTTTCGGTTAATTTGCCACTGACCACTCTCTGCACTACTGATGGGAACCTGAGCTAAGCTAACTTTAGCTAAGTCCCAGTCTAGGCCCTGGGTAGCCCTCAGTGGTCATATGACATTCTCACATGTTTTATTTTTCTAAGGGCTATTCTGACATTTCAGCCATTGGATAGTTGACTGTTGCTTGCAAGTGCATATGCATTCATATTTCCTGTGTGGCCACCTGGGCACTTTGTTTTGCCACTTGTTTCCTCTTACTGGTCTCAGTGTCTTAGCCACATTGTGGGGGGTGGGTGGTGTGGTATTACAGTTTACTACTGTTTATTTTCACATGAAGCAAATAACTTCATCTGCCTCTGTCTGATGAGTAAAATACAATTTATTACCTTTTATTGAGCTATTTATGCACAATAACTACTTTATATGGATTTCTTTATATAGATTTCTATAGATCTGTGTGTGTAGTTTTGCATCTGTGCACTCTGTTCATTGGCTCTTTGGCTTGTTATCTGATTGTAGTAAGAGTTACTGCTTGCATACAGAAAATAAACCTTAAAGGCTTAAAAGATATACTACATAGACCCAATTGTACCATTTTGAGTACCATGTGTGGGCCATACAACAATGACCCCCTGATTTCTTCTGTTTTCATATATTTATCACAGTTAAGTAAACACAAAATGTAGTTTTTAAATGATCATTTCATTTAGTGAAGAAAAAAAAAGTTATTTTATGTAACACCAAGTGGTCCTATGTGAAAATGATATTGCCCCCTTAGTTACACAACCAAAAAGTTAACCAAATTCAGTTGATAATTGGGATAAGTTGAGTTAGACACACCCAGGCTTGATTCCTGCCATCCTGTTGAATCTAAACGAAACTTTCTAGCAAAGTAACTTCAGACTCAACAAACTACACACTATGCCATGATCAAAATAAGTTATTTAAATTTATTAATCTGGAAGAGGTTATCAGGCCATTTCTATGCATCTGGGATTCCAAGAACCACAGTGAGACCCCCAAATGTAGAAAATGTGAAACAGTGATGCATCTTCCCAGAGGTGGCTGGCAAAATTCCTCCCAAAGCATATTGTGAACTCATTCAGGAAATCACAAAAGCACCCAGACAAACACTGGATCTGTAGGCCCCACTCACCTCAGATAAGATCATTCCTCTTTCCACCATTAGAAAGAGACTGGGCATAATGGTAGGCATGAGAGGGCTGTAAGATGAAATCCACTGCTAACCAAAAACATACAAGCTTGTCTCAAGCTTTCCAAAACAACTTGATGACCCACATGGATCCTGTTACATCAGGAATAAAGCAACCACTGTATTCCACAATTATAATGTCATACCAACACTCAAACATGGTGGTGGTAGTGTTATGGTGTGGGGATTTATTGTTGTTTCAGAGCCTGACTTGCCAAGTGTAAAGTTTGGTGGAGGGGGGATTATGGTGTGGGCTTGTGTTTCAGGAGTTGGGCTCGGCCCCTTAGTTCCAGTGAAAGGAACTCTTAACGCTTCAGCAGACCAAGACATTTTGGACAACTTTGTGGAAACAGATTGGGGATGGCCCCTTCCTGTTCCAACATGACTACGCACCAGTGCACAAAGCAAGGTCCATAAAGACATGGATGAGCGAGTTTGGTGTGGAAGAACTTGACTGGCCTGCACAGAGTCCTGACCTCAACCCAATAGAACACGTATAGGATGAATTTAGAGCGGAGACTCTGAGCCAGGCTTTCTCATCCAACATCAGTGTCTGACCTCACAAATGCGCTTCTGGAAGAATGGTCAATAATTCCTATAAACACTCCTAAACCTTGTGGAAAGCCTTCCCAGAAGAGTTGAAGCTGTTATAGCTGCAAAGGGTGGGCCAACATCATATTAAACCCTATGGATTAAGAATGGGATGTCACTCAAGTTCATATGCGTGTGAAGGCAGACGAGCGAATACTTTTGCCAATATAGTGTATATCACACTGAACAGACAAGATACGCAAACAGATTGTTAACAAGTATTTAACTAATGGAAAATTAAAATAAAGATACAATAAATAGAATAAAGAATAAGAATAATAAGGGCATTAGTGAGGGAGGGTTGCACCTGAAGTCCACCACCATCTCTATAGTTGAGTGTTGAGCAGCAGGTGGTTGCTGCTTCACCATGAGACCAGCTTCCTGACTTTCTTTCTGTAGGCACATTGCTGTTGGCTAAGAGGCTCACCACAGTGATGTCATTTCCAACCTTAGGATCTTCACAGCTGATTCCATAGAGACACAATCATTGGTGTAGAGACTACATGTGATGATGTGCATTGTGTGTTGTAAAAGAAAGGCGAACAGCTGACAGGATGCTGCCATATCACTAAATTTAGTGTGGGTGAGTGACAGAGAGAGAGAAATTAGCTCATCTAAACACATTTCCTGTTTGAGGTGCCAGTGTTTAAATGCAGATGTGTTCAGGACTGCTGAACGACTTGCAAGGTTTGCTTGTGTGCTGACTGTTTCAGGTAGACTGTGGATTTGTTCTGTACTGCAGAGTTCTGTACTGTGGTAGTGTAGTACATGTGTAGCTAGGAGATCGATCAGTAAAGTGAGTGTAGGAGTGGTCGAACCTGCAGTTGTGCTGCTGTTGTATGTAGTGAGGAGGTTCTGTAACCCAGGAAGAATGCAGATTTGTTTGTATCTGATGCTTCTGCTCCATGTTGCTGAAGGTGAGTGTACTGTTATCTCTATTGCAGTAGAAACTCTAACATGTAGTACCATTTAAGGTTTATTTTAAAAGCATGCTGTAATGTTATTGATGATGTACAAATGTAAGTGTATACATTGGGCAGCTACTGAAAATCAACATAAACAAGTATTATGTATAATAATTGACATAAACAAGTATTCTGGCAAGAAATGTAGTTCCTTTAGAGTATGGTATCGCTGCCTTGCAACCCTGGACCCCTGAATGAGGAAAATCGCTGTATACTTATGTCATTTCATTATATTTTTTTTTGGAAGTTTTTGCTGTATAAGAATGAACATATGATAACACAGCACTGTTTAATGCAAAAGCTTTCGCTTTATAAGTACTTCTTGGTCACCATATTACCACCATGAGTCTTATTTAGCACCAATCCTGAGTACCTGTATTCTGACCCATGCAAGAGTAATAGATTGTGTTTTCTAGGAAAGCTCAAATAAACATGCTCTCATTTTCTTAAATTATGCTCCTCATTTAAAAGCACATGAGGTTGGCTGAACACTGTATATGACAATTCACAAAGATGCATACCAGGACATTCTACAGAATGTGCTTATTTGATACATTAGCAAGAAATTTCCATTTTTTTCAGAAATAAAGGTATGAAACTTTCACTGTGGTGGTACCCTCAGAGGTATATCGCAGTACCTTTAGTCAGGGAACATAATTGAAAACATGATACCAAAATCCATTGAAAAAATAATTTCTTGGTTATTTTGACTCCACACACCCAATCCTGTACTTTTCTCCTGGAAATTACTTATTTAAGGTAAACAAATGAACTTTAAAAGCACTGTTATACATCTGAGAGAACAATTATATTGGTTTTGATGAAAACAATGTGTGTCTTTATTTCTAACACTGTATGTGATGTTGTGCATGTGTGCTACAAGAGAAGAACGAAGATGAGCTGACAGGATGCTGTCTCATCACTATATTTAGTGTGACTGAGTGGCAGAGAAAGATGAGCTCATCTGAACACAGTTCCTCTTTCAGGTGCCCCTGTTTGAGTGTGGAAGAGTCCAATGAAGTCCTGCTGAGAGAGATACAGGATTTTCTCGTGTGCTGGTCATGTCAGGTAGACTGTAGGTCTCTAAAGAGCTCTGCAGAAGTGCTGAGGTAGTGTAGTTGACAGATCGGTCAGTAGAGCCGGTGTAGGAGTGGTCATATCTGCAGTTGTGCTGTCTCTGTATGTAGTGAGGAGGTTCTGTAACTCAGGAAGAATGCAGGTTTGTTTGTATCTGCTGCTTGTGCTCCATGTTGCTGAAGGTGAGTGAATCATTAAATCTCTTACTGTAGATAGTAGTATAACACAGTTATACACAGCAGTTAAAATTGTTTGAGTTGATTGGTTGCCTTCAAAGCCAGTTCCAACCACTTATTTCAAGTAATTATAACTTTTTCACCACTTAAGCTTGTATGGGTTTCTTAACAGTATAATAAAATAATTAATAGTAAACTGATTTAGGAAAACTGTGCTTAGGCTGGTCAAGCGTGTCTTTTAATGGCAATGCCCTGAAAGTAAAATCCTGTTCGTGGTTGATCAAGTGTTACACAAGTGATGATAGTGAAGGTCATTAACTGGTGTGTTTCTGCAGGCTGCACACTGAAAGGCCATGGGCAGTTAGAAGAAATTACAGCATACACAGGAGGGTCAGTACTGCTGCCCTGCTACTGCACTGACCCACAAGTCACACCTGAGAGTTTCACCTGGAATAAACTCTACTCAAACATAGACATAATGAAAGAGA